GTTGTCCATTTCCTTAAAGTTTTCCAATTTTGTGGAGTTCAGATTTTCGAAACATGACCTGATGATTCTCGGTCTTTCCTTCATGTCTGTTGTTATGTCCCCCTTTTCATTTCTGATTTTGTTAATTTGGATATTCTCTCTCTGCCTTTTGGTTAGTTTGGATAAAAATTTGTCTATTTTGTTGATTTTCTCGAAGAACCAACTCTTTGTCTCATTGATTCTTTGTATTGTTTTCTTTGTTTCTATTTTGTTGATTTCAGCTCTCAATTTATTTCCTGCCATCTAGTTCTCTTACATGAGTTTGCTTCTTTTTGTTTTAAGTTTTTAAATATTCTGTTGATTCACTAGTGTGAGATTATTCCAGCTTCTTTATGTAGGTGTTTAGTGCTATGAACTTTCCTCTTAATACTGCTTTCATTGTGTCCCGTAAATTTGGGTATGTTGTGTGGCCATTTTCATTGAATTTTAGGAAGTCTTTAATTTCTCCCTTTATTTCTTCCTTGATCCATTGATGATTCACGTGAACATTGTTTAATTTCCATGTGTTTGTGGGTTTTCTGGATTAGTATTGCTGTTGTCTTCTCATTTTAAACCATTGTGACTAATATGAAATGACCTTCTTTGTCTCTTTTGACTGATTTTAGCTTGAAGTCTATTTTGTTAGATATTAGGATAACTACACCCGTTTGTTTCTTAGGTTTTTTCCCAACCCTTTACTCTGAGATGATGTCTGTCTTTGAGGTTGAGATGTGTTTCTTATATGCAGAAGAAGGATGGATTTTGTTTTCATATCCAATCTGTTAGCTTGTGCCTTTTTATAGGTGAGTTGAGTCCATTTACATTAAGGAATATTAATGATCAGTGATTGCTATCTCCTGTTAATTTAGTTTTCATTGTTGGTGATGTTAATCTGTGTGCTTTTCCCTTCTTTGGGATTTGCTGCTATGAGACCATCCATTGTCTGTGCTTTTGTTGGTATAGCCATCTTCCTTGTGTAGGGCTGGGCTTGTGGTTACGTATTGGTGAAATCTAGATTTGTCATGGAATATTTTGTTTTGTCCTTCTATGGTGATTGACCGTTTTGTTGGGTATAATAGTCTGGGATGGCATCTGTGGTCTCTTAATGTCTGCAAAATGCTCGACCACGACCTTCTGGCTTTCATTGTCTCAAATGAGAAGCCAGCTGTAATTCTGATAGGTCTACCTTTATATGTTACTTGGCCCTTTTCCTTTGTAGCTTTTAATATTCTTTTCTTTACTCTATATGTTTAGTGTTTTGATTATTTTGTGGCGAGAGGACTTTTTATTTGGATCCAGTCTATTTGGTGTTCTGTAAGCTTCTTGTATCTTCACAGGCAGATCTTTCCTTAGGTTGGGAAAGTTTTCTTCTATGATTTTGTTAAATATATTTTCTATGCTTTTGAGTTGAACTTCTTCTTCATCTATACCTATTATTCTTAGATTTGGCCTTTCCATGGTGTCCCATATTTCCTGGATATTTTGGGTTAAGCTCTTGTTAGATATATTTTCTTTAACTGATGAGTCTATTTCCTTTATTTTATCTTCAGCACTTGAGATTCTGTCTTCCATCACATACACCACCAGTAACAGGATGATGAGAAACCAGAATCCAAGTCTTCTGCTGGGAAGCCCCTGTGCCCATCTCTTCACGGCTCCATACATCAGCTGGCATTAGGTTGGGCCAGGAATACACAGAGATGTCACCAGACTGTCAGGTGCATCCTCTCCCCAATCAAAGTACAAAGTGCCAAGAAGGGGCTGTCCAGGGCACACGATGGCCCTCAGGCACCAGGACCCAGGGTCCTAGCTCTGTTGGGAGCACAGCAGAGCTGTGTTTTTACTCACATATCCCTAGGGAAACTGGGAATGCTAGAAAGGTGAGGTTGTCTCTTCAATGGAGGAGATGAAATACCTGTATTCCACGCAGAAAGCTGGGAGTGCAACTTGGGGACCTTTGCTGTCTGTAGAGGCAGACCTCACCCAAACCTCCCAGAGCGTAAACCCTAGACTCCTCCCTCCCTAGACCTTTATCTTTAGCTCCAGTAAATAGAACCCGTCCTTTAGGTCATGTCACAGCTGCTTTACAGCCCGCTGACCTCTATGCTACCTCTGTCAGAGACGATACCAGATCCACGGCCCTTACACTACAGAATCTGCCTTTGGGGCCACATGGACTTTGCAAGTGAGTTTCTATGTAGTAATACCTTAAACTTTGTATACCTGGAATGGGAATGGTCGTTGCCTGGAAACCTGAAATGGGAATCTTGCCTAGAAACCTTTTCCCAAATTCTATGGTGTTTAAATATGCTGGTAACAAACTGCCTGGCATCAGACTCCTGCAGTGTGATCCAGGCTAAGTCAGACTGGACGGCGTTTTCAGTCTCACCTCTTTGCAGACTGTTTCCCCGCCTGCCATGACACCTGCAGGGACTCCCTTAGAGCTCCATTATCTCAGACCCGGTTTGGGCATCAAGGTTACCTCATAGTTCAAAATGGCTGATGAACAACCCATTGCTTTAGCATCCTGCTTTAGCAGGCGTAGGAGAAAGGAGGACGCAAAGCTCATTCCATCTCTTTAATTTACTGTTTGCATGCTAGGGATGGAACCCAGAGCCTCGAGTCCTCCAGGCCAGTGCTTTACAGTTGAGCACAGTGGCTGCCCATCTCATCCACTCTTGTGTGAGTATGTGTGTGAACGTGGTGTGTGTGCAGATGCACACACCTGCACATGCAGAGGAAGAAGGACACTGGGTGACTTGCTCTTTCACTCTCTTCCCTATTCCTCTGAGGTAGGGTCTCTCACTGAAACTAGAGCTAACATGGCAGCCAGCAAGTCTCAGTGATTACCCTGTCTCTGCCTCCATACTATGATACAGAAGCCCAGGCTATGCTTGGCTTTCTAGGTGGGTAAGGAGAATTTGAACTAGGGTTCTTGTGCCTTGGTTTTCTATGTGGGTAAGCAGGATTTGAACTAGGATCCTCGTGCCTTGGCTTTCTAGGTGGGTAAGCAGGATTTGAACTAGGGTTCTTGTGCCTTGGCTTTCTATGTGGGCATGCAGGATTTGAACTAGGGTCCTCACGTTTGTGTAGCAAGCACTCTTACAAGTCATCGCTTCAGCCCTTATATCTGTTTTTAAGGAATAAATTCTCCTCTGTGTGGGTGTTTTATCTACATTTATGTGTGTGCACCACATGAGTGCGTGCATGGTACACATGGAGGCCTGAGGACATTGGATCCCCTGGGACTGGTCTCACAGACTGTTGTGAGCCACCATGTGGTGCTGGGACTCAAACCCGAGTCCTCTGAAAGAGCAGCCAGGGCTCTTAACTCTGAAACTGCTCTCTGGTCCCTCCTCTCATCCCTTCTAAATATTATTCAGGAAGTCCTAAAATGCTCAAACTTGATTGACCCAACTTGGTCACAGGGAAAGCTGAGAAACGATTCTTGAAGTTGGTGGCACTATGGCTATGTAAAATGCAGGATTATTATCCTGGAAGTGGTACCGCACGCCTTTAGTTCCAGCACTCGGAAGGCAGAGGCAGGTGGATCTCTGTGGGTCTGAGGCCAGCCTGGTCTACAGAGCAAGTTCCAGGACAGCCAGGGCTACACAGAAAAACCCTGTCTCAAAGAAAAATCAAACACAAAACCCCAGGATTATGCCAAGGGAGATGGGGAGAAGATGGGTTGGGGAAGGCATTTATGGGCTGGGCTAAGCTCCCTGCTCCAGGCATTTATAGCCCTGGCCAAGCTCCCTGCTCCCGTTCTTTGATGCCATCAGTTGCACACTCATCGAATATTTCAGTGCCATCTACATGATTGACAATGGGTCAGGATTCCCACGAGAAACAAGCCTGGCTGCTCTAGGAAGTCTGGATTCAGTTGGGGAGCAGTCCCCAGGCTCAGCAAGATGTGAGTTTGCGAATGACGGGGTGGAGGCTGGGCCTGTGCTCCACCATCCTGCCTGCCTACCAACTTCCAGTCACTGCTTCCACTGTACAACATCTGGGAGAGCAGAGAGGAGGGGGAGGCTGGGCCTGTCTACTGCACCACTGTACATCTGGGAGAGAGGAAGGGGGAAGCTCTAAGACAGGGCACACAGACAGAGCTGCACGATACATGTGGGGTTAACAGGGATCTGCACGAGGGGTCCCAAGATGTCTCACGGGGAGAACACGAAGGCATGTGGGGTTAACAAGGATCTAAACAGGGAACACAAAGGATGTCTCACGGGGAGAACATAGGCTTCCCTTAGTGCTCTTTGTGAGGTCTGAGAGCCATCTCTGGGATGGCTGTTTTCTAACTGTGTCTTCTCAGTTATGGCCCAGCTGCTGAGGTCCCAACAGGACTTCCGGCTGTGGGCTCCACCATCCTGCCTGCCTACCAACTTCCAGTCACTGCTTCCCAGCCAAGTATTTAAAACACAGCTACAGAAGCCCAGGCTTCATTTACAAAGGCAGTAAGATCATCACAGGCAATGGGTGAGTGATCGCCCCCTAGTGGCAGGAGAGTGCACAGGTGGGGGCGGGTAAAGGAAAACAACAGGAACCCGTGTGAGCCACCAAGCCTCCAAGAAGTAGCTCTTTCTTGACTGAGCTACTGTGCTATTACATGGCTTCTCCCCCTGCTATCCCTCACCATAAAAACCCTCTCAAACAGCACAGGGTCCAGCTCTCACATTTCCATCACAGACAAGCACACCGCTTCTCTGATGACACACACAGTCACCATGGAAACAAGCTGGCTGAGGCATCTAACGATGCTGCCATTGCTGAGGACAGTCCCCTTAGCGATGCCACCCTCTGTCTGGGCCTGTGTGTGTGTATTCCCCAGGTTAGCCATCACAACTCCACAACCAGCGTGTGCCAGGGAAAAGAAGAGTTGAGCCCTCTCATAAGTGTGAAGGGGGAGAAGAAGAGAACAGGAGGGAGAGGAGGAGGTATGGAAAAAGAGGGAAGGAGGAAGAAAGAGAACAAAGACAGCCTTTTTTAGAAATGTATTTTATTTCAGTAACAAAATACTGGTTCTTCTAAAAACATAAAAAATTCACGCTGTTCATCATTTAAGTTAAAGGTCTTGGCTGGCGGGGCCTCCACTGACATCCAGCAATTGCTAGGTCTTTCTTCTCTCTTCTCTGCTGGAATCCACCCAAGCTGACATTTCAATAGAAAAATCTAGAAAGGAATGGAGACCACAGCAATGAAGGAGGCGCTGGATACAACAATGTTGCTTTGCACGCTCAGCATCAACGCACGACATTCCGACTGCAGCGGAGGCTGCAAAGCCTGGCCTGCTTGTGCATCTGGACACATGCCTTGCTTTCCTCCTGAAGATTCTTTTCTCTAAAGCAGGCTCTGGACAAGCTGCCAGCCTGAGCGAGGCCATCTCCTGCCAGTTTACGTGGAGGTGAGCACACCGTGCTTTGGCACCAGCTCAGTGTGGGACACAATGCGCAATTATGTTACACCTGACATTTCTGTCCTCCCAGCTAACAGGAATCAGCACAGATCCAACCAACATTCCTACTAATGATCTGCCCTCAGCATTTCAACTGCTAATCACTCCCTCTCCTACAGCTAGCACTGAGACCATGCACTTCCTGGTTAGTTTTGCATTTCAGTCAATGAGATAATATTTGAAAGGCAAGATTCCAGGGCAGTAGACTCTTCTGCCTGCCAAAGTCTGCAGTCCCTGAGGACCAGCGAGTGGCAGCAGGCTCTGCAGTCCAGTGGCAGGGCCACAGTGTGTCTGTGGTCTCACTTCCTACAGCTGGGAGGAGGTGGGGGGGGGGGGGCGAGTAGGGCAGTTCAGTTCCCAGTTCTGCTCCCCACTGTTCTTTCAGCCTGATGTTGCCCCAGAGAGCTGTCAGGGGCTGAGGGATGCAGCCATTAACGAAATGCATGGGAGAATGCCCAGCCCCAAATCACCCTCAGTGTTCCAGGTTGGCTATCGCTAAGAAACCTGTTTGCTTCTCTCCCAACAGCCCAAGGGACCGCCTACTTTCAGAAGCATGGCGTCAAGAGGGCAGTGCTCTGAAGTAGTTCAGCGGTTGCCACAGGAACTTGGAGCTGAGCAGACTAAGAACCCCCTGGTAGGGTTTCAAAGAACAATTGCCTAGACTGAGCTGGGGACATGGTGCCCTTTCCTGAAGCAGGAGCCCGGGAGGCCGGATTCTCAACAAGCATCCATGCAGCCGTGTAGGAAATGCTCGGCTGTGTAGAATCCTGCTCTGTAGCTGGATTCTAGAACCATAATCTACAATCTAGAATCCCTGCTCACCATATGTGAATCGAGAGGTCCAGAGTCAGGCTTGATAAGTGAAGAAACAGATCCGTAAATGAGCCAGCGATTGTGTTACACCTCTGACAAGGTCTTAAGAATAGCCTCCAGGAGCCTTGAGTCCCCTCCCCTCAGCACGCTCCAGAGCCCTCCCTACCCCATCCTAAGCACACAGCACACCGGGAGGCACCAGCTACATCCAGCAATGCAACACAAGCCCCATGGTGGGGAGGAGCTGCCGGGGAGGAGCTGCCAGGGACGCTGGGGCATGGTCACTACTGTGGAAGTGGACTGGAGAGGGGGCAAATGAGGTTTGGCCAGATTGTGAGTGGACTGGGAAGGGATTATTTGCCACCAGGGAGTCAGACCTCATCCTGAGGATAACAGGGTTATCCTCCTCTGCCAGGCATGTTAGCAGATTCATGAAATACTGTTTTGCAGTTTTTAGTACCTGTGCTTCTCACAAGTCTGCAGCTGGTAAGTCTCTCTCTCTCTCTCTCTCTCTCTCTCTCTCTCTCTCTCACACACACACACACACACACACACACACACATATCTGCCATTAATTCACATAAGAAACTTGGAGCAGAGGATTGATACTCTGTGAATAATCATCAGTGGGAGCACACACACACACACACACACACACACACACACCTGCCATTAAGAATCACAACAAGCTTGGAGCAGAGGACTGATGTTCTGTGAATGGTCAGCAGTGGGAACACACACATGCACACACTCACTCACATACACACATGTATGCATGTGTGCGCACACGTGTTCTGTGAAAGGGCAGCCAAGCAGAGGACAGAAACTCTGAGTGGTCAGCAGTGGGGGCAGAGGGTCGGGTGCTGCACCTGTCTGTGGGGCCCCTGTGTCCTCTCACGGCCTTCATCCTGAGGATGCAGAGATCTCAGGACAGGTTTTGCTTACAAAGCGCAGTACCTCTGAGGTCTCTTCAGTTCTCCTTCTTCTCCGACTGCTGCTTCCTTTCGGCTTGCAGCTTTGCTTCCAGGCTTTTCCTCTGGTACATTTTCACGCCCGCAAAGGCCAGGCAGAGGATCAAGGTTTTTGCCGCCAGAATATACAGCAGCAGGGGCACGTGTTCAAGAACCTCAAGGGAGAAAGACACATGTGATTGCTCTCGCAGTCACGTGAGTCTCTGCCAGCCGCTTTCATTCTGCAAATGCTACTGGGCCCTACAGTGTTTCAGAGCGAGGCTAGGTGCGTGGAACACACTGGCGTCCTGGGTAGTAACCAACCACCTGACACAACCTACAGCCATCTGAGAAGAAAGCCCAGGCTAGAGGAGTCGCCTCGACTGGACTGGCCGGTGGCCATGTCGGTGGGGAACTGCCTTGATTACTGACTGATGCAGAGGAGCTCAGCTCACAGTGCAAGTGAACCTTCAGGAAGTGGCCTCAGGGGAGGTCCTCAGGCCACTGGAGCACAGCTGCAGGTCTGCTGTGGGAGTGAGAAGTCTTACCTACTTCTATTCTCTGTCCACGCCGTCTGTCACCCCCACCCGTGGTCCACAGCCAGACTGGAATGTCCGGACCCCACGAGCTATAAATAAGCCAGCTAATCAACTCAGGTGTCCTCCTAGTGTGACTGATATATGCGGAAAGACAAAAGCAAAACAAACAAAACTACACATTTTAAAACCAGTCTCACCTTCCAGTTCATGGCGGCCCGCCTGGGAGTTCACTTCCGACCAATGCAACCCGTAGACACAAGCATGAGAGGCGGCTGGGGGGTCGGGTCCAAGGAGCTGGGAGTTCTGAGCTGGGGAAAGAAGCAGACACATTAGGAAGCCACGTCTTTGGCAGAGACGGGCACCTGAGCAGAGAGCAAGCGCTGCAGAGCTGGGTCAAGAGGTCTGCACAAGGTGACCCAGAGCTCGTCCTGGTGGCTCTCCACAGCCCCCTGCACAGTGCTGCTCCTGAGACATCTGTCCTCATCCGAGTCCTCCGCGTACCCAAAGCCCACATTCACAAATGTCCCCTCTCCAATCTCTTGACTCAAAGACAAGAAAGTTTAGGGATGGAGGTCCCTGTGAGTGTTGCCTGTGTTTATCCTGGCTTTAAAAAAATCTGGAGGGAAAGGATAAATGAGAGGCCAAAACACTGTGCTAACAGCTAATTTGTCCAGAAAAAAATCTGTTGCAAGGAGCCGCTTGTTTGTCCTGGCTGCCCAGAGCCAAAATAATCACACAGAAACTGTATTAATTAAATCACCACTTGGTCCATTAGCTCTAGCTTCTTATTGGCTAACTCTTACAAATTAATTTAAACCATTTCTATTAATCTGTGTATGGCCACGTGGCTGTGGCTTACCGACTAAAGTTCCAGCGTCTGTCTCCAGCAGGGCTACATGGTGGCAGCGAGATGTCTCTGTGAATTGTAAAGTTTTGGAAGTTGCTTACAAGGTACTTTCTGTTTACTTAGGTAGTATTATATCCTTCTGGAGTCTTTGATGGAGTTGAAGAATTGATAGTTATAGTTTTCCTTAGTTATGATAAAAGATAAAGTAGATATAAATATTATAACTGTAATTCTTGTTTGATACCTGTTTTGTTATATGTAATTTTACTATGTTAAAGTTAAAACCTTCCTTTTTATTTAAACAGAAAAAGGGAAGTAATGCGGGAGTCCTCTCTGTGTGCTGTGATTACCATTAATGAATAAAGAAACTGCTTTGGACCTATAGCAGGGCAAAACTTAATTAGGCAGGGAAAACTAAACTGAATGCTGGGAGAAAAAAGGGAAGAGTCAGAGAGAAGCCATGGATCCTCTGCCTGAGATGGATGCTGGTTAGAATCTCTGGTAAGCCAGGGCCTCATGGTGACACACAGATTAATAGAAATGGTTAAATTAACATGTAAGAGTTAGCCAATAAGAAGCTAGAGCTAATGGGCCAAACAGTGATTTAATGAATACAGTTTCTATGTGATTATTTTGGAGCTGAGCAGCCAGGATCTAACAAGCAGCTTTCCTGCTACAAAAATCCTTCCAAAGAGTAAAAGAGACCCAGAGCAAGTGAGAGCATAGAGCTCGCTAGAGAATACACGTTCTCCAGGGCCTGTGGCTTGTTCCCTTAGGAGATGACACGTGCCCCACAGCCAAAACACTTGAGATCTGAGACAGCCTGCACACTGGGTCAACCAGATGGTCCTACTATTTCTGAACTTGACTTCACAGCACGGCATTGACAGCTGGCTCTACTGTGCCCGGCTGTACTAATCAAGCCAACTAGTCTATATTCTACGACCTTTACTTTAAAGGGGGAAGAGAAAAGGTGTCACTGGAATCTGAACCCATCTGGTACGGGAGGTCTCTGTCATAAACGGGTGTCCCAGGGTTCTTGGCATCTCATTGAAAGTACACAGAATGAAAAGTGTAAGGTGAGGAATTTTATCCAGAAGCATAGCACAGTCCAGATGCTCTACAAGAAGGCAATGGGCTACCTGAGCTGGAGTGGACAAGGGCAGCTGGTTACTGCTCATGGCTTCCTTCTGTGAGTGCAGGACAGGGTGGGAGCTGATGGCTAGGGCTGAGGTATAGGTGTTCTTTTGGTTCTAATTGATGAGCCTGAGTTATGTAAGCTTTAGTTCACACCCTTTCGTATGATGTATTTGATGTTAATCCTGTATGTGCCCAATTCCAATAAGGCACAGCCAAAGGAGGGCAAATGGGGATTTCCCCCCTAAATGTTCATTTGAGGTCATAGTTTGCCTTACTGTGCATGCACCCCAAACCAGTAAATGTTGGATCTGGCCATGTCCCCTGGTTTCAGGATATGCTTGGTCACCAGACACCAGACAGGAGTTACTGAGGGTTGCTAGGGAACTGCAGTTTGCGTGTCCATAAGCCTCTTTTTAAAAGGAGGTGTGCAATGCATCAGGGAAGAAATTAAAAACTTCCTAAAAGTCAATCAACGAAAATGACCACATACCCAAATTTATGCGATACAATGAAAGCAGTATTAAGAGGAAAGTTCATAGCACTAAATACTTATATAAAGAAGCTGGAAAAATCCCACACTAGTGAGCTAAGAGGACACCTAAAAACTCTAGAACAAAAAGAAGCAAACTCACCCAGGAGGACTAGATAGCAAGAAATAATCAAATTGAGAGCTCAAATCAACAAAATAGAAACAAACAATACAAAGAATCAATGAGACAAAGGGTTCGTTCTTCAAGAAAAATCAATAAAATAGACAAACCTTTATCCAAACTAACCAAAAAGCAGAGAAGATATCAAAATTAACAAAATCAGAAATGAAAAGGGGGACATGACAACAGACATAGGAAACTCAGAGAGTCATTAGGTCCTATTTCAACAACCTGTACTCCACAAAATCGGAAGACTTAAAGGAAATGGACAACTTTCTGGATAAAAATATCACCAAAATTAAATCAAGATCAGATAAGCAAATTAAGTCGACCTATAACTGCTAAAGGATCACAAGATTATCTCATTAGATGCTGAAAAAGCCTTCGACAAAATACAACATCCCTTCATGATAAAGGTCCTGGAGAGAGCAGGGATACAAGGAACATATATAAACATAATAAAGGGAATATACAGCAAGCCAGCAGCCAACATCAAACTAAATGGAGAGAAACAGTGATCCCACTGAAATCAGGAACAAGACAAGGTTGTCTACTCTCTCCACATCTATTCAATATAATTCTTGAAATCCTAGCTGGAGCAATAAGACAACAAAAGGAGGTTAAGGGGATACAAATCAGAAAAGAAGAAGTCAAACTCTCACTATTTGCTGATGATATGGTAGTTTACATAAGTGATACCAAAAATTCTACCAAAGAACTTCTACAACTCATAAACACCTTCAGTAATGTAGCAGAATACAAGATTAACTCAAAAAAATCAGTAGCCCTCCTTTACACAGATGATAAATGGGCTGAGAAAAAAAATCTAAGAAACATCAACCTTCACGATAGCCACTAATAACATAAACTATCTCGGAGTAACTCTAACCAAACAAGTGACAAGAACTTTTAAATCTTTGAAGAAAGAAATTGAAGAAGACACCAGGAAATGGAAAAATCTCCCATGCTCTTGGGTAGGCAGAATTAATATAGTAAAAATGGCAATCTTACCAAAAGCAATCTACAGATTCAATGCAATGCCTATCAAAATCCTAGCAAAATTCTTCACAGACCTCGAAAGAATGGTACTCAACTTCATATGGAAAAGCAAAAAACGCAGGATAGTCAAAACAATCCTGTACAATAAAGGAACTTCTGGAGGTATCACAATCCCTGACTTCAAACTCTACTACAGAGCTACAGTACTGAAAACATCCTGGTATTGACATAAAAACAGACAGGAAGACCAATGGAACTGAACTGGAGATCCAGATATCAACCTACACACCTACAAACACCTGATTTTTGACAAAGAAGGAAAAAAATAAAAAGAATGGAATGGAAAAAAGAAAGCATATTCAACAAATGGTGCAGGCATAACTGGATATCAACATGTAGAAGAATGAAAAGAGGTATATATCTATCACCATGCACAAAACTCAAGTCCAAATGGATCAAAGACCTCTCAACATAAAGCCAACCACATTGAACCTCAAAGAAGAAAAAGTGGGAAGTACACTTGAATGCATTGGCACAGGAGATCACTTCCTAAATATAACCCCAGTAGCACAGACACTGAGAGCAACAATTAATAAATGGGACCTCCTGAAACTGAGAAGCTTCTGTAAGCAAAGGACACAGTCAACAAGAAAAAAACGGCAGCCTACAGAATAGGAAAAGATCTTCACCAAGCCCACATTGGACAGAGGTCTGATCTCCAAAATATATAAAGAACTCAAGAAACTGGTCATCAAAAGAACAAATAATCCAATAAAAAATGGAGTACAGACCTAAACAGAGAACTCTCAACAGAGGAATCTAAAATGGCTAAAGGACACTTAAGGAAATGCTCAACATCCTTAGTCATCAGAGAAATGCAAATCAAAACAACTCTGAGATTCCATTAAGGAAATGCTCAACATCCTTAGTCATCAGAGAAATGCAAATCAAAACAACTCTGAGATTCCATCTTACACCTGTAAGAATGGCCAAGATCAAAAACACTTACGAAAACTTATGCTGGAGAGAATGTGGGGTAAAGGGAACACTCCTCCAGTGTTGGTGGGAGTGCAAACTGGTACAGTCCATTTGGATATCAGTATGGCAATTTCTCAGAAAATTAGGAAACAACCCATCTCAAGACTCAGCAATACCACTTTTAGGTATAAACCCAAAGGATGTTCAATTATACCATGAGGACATGTGCTCAGCTATGTTCATAGCAGCATTGTTTGTCATAACCAGAACCTGGAAACAACTTAAAGAACCCCACAACCAAAGAATGGATAAGGAAAATGTGATACATTTACACAATGGAGAAAAAATAATGATATCTTGAAATTTACGGGCAAATGGATAGATCTAGAAAACATCGTATTAGTGAGGTAATCCAGACCCAGAAAGACAAATATCATATGTACTCATAAGTGACTTTTAGACATAAAGCAAAGAAAAAACAGCCTATAATTCACAACCCCAGAGAACCTAGACAACAATGAGGACCCTAAGAGAGACATACATGGATCTAATGTGCATGGGAAGTAGAAAAAGACAAAACCTCCTGAGTAATTGGGAGCATGGGGACCAAGGGAGAGGGTAGAAGGGGAGGGAAGAAGAAGGAAGGGGAGTGGAGAAAATATATAGCATAATAAAAACAATTAAAAGAAAGAAAGAGAGAGAGAGAGAGAGAGAGAGAGAGAGAGAAGTGCGCCTGTAAGACTTTAAGACAATCCTGAAGCCATTTTTGACAATTCTGAATCCTCTCAGCCTCTGTGCCATAGTGCTTCCCCTCCTCCCCTGGGAACCAAGGACCTAACAGCTACACTCGCACGTACTCAGTTCCTGAACAATTACCCATATACGTATGCTTTGGTTCGGTACCCTGGGAAACGGGGTCAAAATGACCTCTTACCTCATCTGATCTGGCAACAGCTCTCCAGTCAATTATTGGTAATAGCCCTTTCAAATAAGCCGATCAGAATAGTCAAAGAACAACTCCCCTTGCTTCTGTGGCCCCTTTAAAAGTAGACTGTACCAGCTATTCGAGGTCCCTCGGCTTCCCGAATGCTGGGGGACCCTGTCATGACAGAATTAATAAAATCCTCATGCTTTTGCATCGGCTGTGGTGTGTGAGATGGTCTCTGAGGGCGACTCCTTCTCGGTGTTTGGACGCTAGAGTCCAACACGCCCAAACACAGGCTCCAGAGAAGATAAGGTTCAGTGAGGAAGAGCAGGTCAGAGAAGAGGAAGGCTGTGCACCACTGGGCTGAGCCACAGGAACAGCATCCAGTGGCTGACAAGAGCGACTGATGGAGTCACGGGAGTCCATGGGAGTCACAAGGGCAAACTCCCACTTTAATTGGGTTTGCAGAACAATGGTAGATTACTTGCCCGGGAGGCACAAGGCTCTGCAACACCACCTGAAATATATGGGAAGGGGGAGAGCATCTTTGTAAAGGGAGGAAGGAAACAGGCAGTGACTGGAGAGGAATCAGGGTCAAGGCCAGGACTGCTTACGAAGACATCACAGGTGGTCAGCCCTAAACACATGTACATATGTACAATACTAAATAGACTCAGCTGTGTGTCTCTGTGTGTGTGTGTGTGTGTGTGTAAAATAACAAAAGGTTATAAATTCGAGAGGAACCGGGGTGGACGGAGCAGGGGGACTGGAAATCTTGCAAATGCATTCATGAAATAAAATTTTTAATTAAAAAACAAAGGGAGGTGTGCATGCAGCTCCATGGGGCGGGGAAGGGGAGACCCCAGCTAGTTTTTCTGGGAAAGCAGTGTGTGTGTGTGTGGCCCAAGCCAAGCAGACTCACTCCCAGGTTTCCCTTCCCTTGCCCACCACACATCAGTCAGTCAAATCCGTACTCTAGCCCCAGAAAGCCACTTGGACACAGGTAGAAAGCATGAGAATCATGAGGCAGGGTTGCTTCTATCCACAGGACTTATTAGGATCAGAATCAGAAAAGCAGCAGGAAACTTCGCAGGCCTTTTGAACAGGCTTCCTTAGGTAAACCTCACGGGAGATGGTTTAGAAAAAATAGTTCAATTACAAAAGTATCACATATATAGAAGTCAGACCTCGAGCTAGTCAAGGTTATAGAACCTGAAAACCAGCTACCTATTGGCACAAGATAGCCAAGTTTTCCCCTTGGCTTGTGCAAAGTCAGATAAACCAGTAAGAGCCGAATTCAAAGCTCTGATTAAATGTGCTTTCAGTGGCTAAAGGCGCCCACTCCCTTCAGGCAGCAGCAGAGTCTGCCCTGCGGTGGGAAGAATGTGCTCTTTGCGTGTTACAACTTGCCGCCAGAGTTTATACCTTGGGTCACTAGTCATTTCAGGGATTAGCCATGCTGTATATTAAAACAAAATACTTAAGTTCTTTTCCATTTTATTTTTATAATTCCTTCTTAATTGAGAGTTGTGTACATGCATAGTCAGTGATTTAACTGTCTCTCACAAACTACCTATGTGAATTGACATACACAGGCTGGTGACTCCCAAAGTCAAGGCCCAAGAGGCTCACCAAAGGAAATACGTGAAAACCAATCCCTGGGGTAGGGAAGTCTGGCAAAAACACAGTGTTTAGTGGCAATGTGACCTTGGTCGGGTACTTGGCCTCTGTAGCCTCCTTCATCAGTATAGTCTCCTTCAGAAGTTGACCCATAATCTCTAAGAACCATGAGCAGCACACAGAAAACACTAATCAATGCCAAGTATGACTGTTTGGATAATCTCTCGCCTTTGCTCCTGGTTCTGCCAGATAACAAAAAGCACCAGGGCAGGGTGTAGTCAGGACAGGACAGCTAAGCATGGGATAAAGAATAGGGCAAGGAGAAGGACGTCGGGATTCTGCTCCAGGTGGCACTCATGGCTGGGTATATGACCAGGAAAGCCATTAACCTCCAGAGCCTCTTACTTGTAATATCAGGCTCCAAAAAGTGAATCTCCCACTCTGGAATTGATGTCAACAGAACCTGATAGTAAACAGGCTGGCAACTAGAGGGTTAAAAGGTAAGGGCTCTGAGAAAGAACAGAGGACTGGTGTGGCCCAGCCCTAGAGTGTCAGGGAGCACACACAGCTCCAGGTTCAACCCCAAGGAACTCTTAAGTGAGGCACAGCGTAGGCCTCTAGTCCTAGCATTTGGGAGGTGGAGGTGGGAGATCAGAACTCAAGGTCATCCAAGGAGAGAGAGAGGGAGAGAGGGGGAGAGAGAGAGAGAGAGAAGGGGAGAGTGTGTTCTCCCAAAGAGAAGAGGAGAGAAATGAAGAGTTAAAGGAAAAGCAAATCTGTCATAGTGATAGAGCGGGTTGTGCGAACAGAAGAGGCCAAAGGACCCAGAGCAGAGCTGCTGATTCTCAGTCCACTGCTTTAAATTACACAGTCCAGCCGGGCGGTGGTGGCCCACGCCTTTAATCCCAGCATTCGGGAGGCAGAGGCAGACGGATTTCTGCGAGTTTGAGACCAGCTTGGTCTACAAGAGCTAGTTCCAGGACAGGCTCCAAAGCTTCAGAAAAACCTTGTCTCGAAAAATCAATCAATCAATCAATCAATCAATCACAGTCCAAAGCAGACATTTCCATGGCAGCTTGCGAGCCTTCTGCAAATGAGACAACCAGGAAGGCTAAAGGGAAGAGTGAGCTGTCTACTCTGGTACCGGGTACTCTGGAGCCTGCTCAGAAATGAGAGGTGGCTGACATTGGAGAGGTGAGGACAGCTGGAAGGCATTAAAATAAACGAACCATTGGGGGCCCAGACAGGCTTAGCTTAACCCGCAACAGTAGCAAAACGGTTTAGATAAAGCTGCTAGTTCTGATCTTTATTGCAAAGTAGCACTCCACTTGACAGGTTTTTTTTTTTCTAGAAAGATGTGCACTCATTTGGTTAGGCCAATTAAAACAATATGGGCAATATACTACTTCACAAGCTCCCTTGCTTCTTGGCAGGCCTAAGAAGTCAAGGTGCACCACCTACTCCAGCCACCGAGCAAGCAGCTGTGGGAACTCTGAAGCTGTTTTCACTCCCGTCTCCATCCCTTTCACTTCAGTTCCTCATTTCAACTACGGTAGGTTCAGGTTGCCGGTGATCCTTGGGCCTCACTTAGCCCGCTCTGCATAGGTCTTGGTTTTCAGGAGATCCAGATCCACCCAAGCCGGGCAGCTCAACGTATAAATCTCAGTACTTTGGGGATCCTCTGAGAAACCAGAGCCACGGTGGACCTCTCTGCTCGCGGGAACTACACACCTCATTTGGACAACTTCAACGTTGTGCTCCTATGCAAACTGGATCCTAGGCACCACAGAATCAAATGGGGCTTTATTATTCCTGGGTAACGGGGTCTCCAGTAGGGCTCCCAACCCCAACACATGCGAGGTGCAACCCTCGCTCCACTAAGGGGCGAAATAGAGGGCCCGGGGTTATCGCCTCTCCCTCCCTTCGTGCCCAGAGCAAGGTGACCGGAATATTAGAATTCCCACACGCTGTGTGGCCGCGGCCAGTGTCATCGGGGAGAAGTGTCTTAGGGATCCCCAGCGCCCCAAATTGTCAATTACACACTTACAACTCAAGGCGGTGGGGCCTCCTGGCGGGGTGCTGACAAGCCACGACTCCCACAATCCCGTAGGGGAAACTACACATCCCGAAATGCACCGCTCCGCACGCAAGCACCGGCGTGAAGGTCACCACTTGAGGCGCAAGCGTGTTGGGTCTAGGCTGTTACCAGCGCTACCTGGTGCCGCGCTGGGTTTAAGGCGCCTGTTGCTCCAAACGCAGGCGTTGTGGGAATCAGGCAAGTCACCTGGGGTAATGAGAAATGCAGAAATCCAAATCGGACCCTTAAGGGAGGTCCACAGGTGTGTTGCGGCCTGGAGTCCTTGGTTCATGCCGCGGTGCATCTTCATCCTCCGCTACATTGGCTGATTTCGGCTTGCTCTTCTCTACAGCTGAGGACAGGGGTCCCCAGTTGGTTTGTTTTTGTTGTCCCCCCACCCCCAGATTTAGCATTTCTCCATGGGAACAACATGGATGCATCGTCCTTTGGGATAACTGAAGGATGCATCTGCATTAGGTTCCCAAATTCTTTTCTAACCATTGGTCCCTGAAAGCGTGCCGAGTGGGGAGGCGCACAGGGAGCAGCCCTGGACAGGGCTGCGGAGAGGGAAAGTAGCCACCCGAGCTCCCCACTTCGACCCCTCCTTTTGTAGAGGGGGAAGCTGATGCCCGGTGCTGTCATTAGAAGTCCTACAAATACCCTGTAGTGGCAGGGTGGATATTTGAACCCAAGAAATTTAAGTTCAAATCTTGTTATGCTTCTTTGTGGAGATAAAGTAGGCCATATTAGCAAGCAGAGGCGAAAGCAGACTTGGTTGTGCCAAAAGGGATTTTTTTTTTTTCAGAGAAAGTAACAAATAAACCTTGCTCTAAGCACTTCGAGACTATTGTCTAATTCACATCTATGAGGCCTGTAAAGGACACACTTTATAACCATTTCACAAACGACGAGACGGAAGCACAAAGAGCGGCAGAGCGGGGACTCGCCACAGGTTGTGAGGCCAGAATCAGATCAGCCCTGCTCCGTTTGAGATGGCTTCAAATCTGGTGTGCGGGACCCACAGGCTAAGCAAAACAAACTCCGATAGGGATGGAGGGATAAAACCAGCTGTTTGAACGAGCATTTTCACTGGGAAAGCCTCACTTTGGTGGAAGTTGACCCTGGAGGGGGAGGTTGATGAGCACCTGGACACCCAACACGCATGTCCAGTGTGTTAGTTGTCTGCACTGTTAGCGAAACTAAACACCTGGGAAAAGCCACTTAGGGAAGGAAGGGTTTGTCTAGGCTGGCCCGAGTCCCCAGGGGGAAGCATAGCGTGATGGAGGCCTGTGCTCACTTGGTCTTCTCTTTGTTCCATCCGGGATCCCAGCCCAGGGAATGGTACCACCCACTTAGAGTATGTCTTTCCCTCTCATCTAACCCAATCTAGATAATCCCCCACAGACATGCCCGGAGGCTTATCTGCTATGTGAGTCTAGAACCTGCCAAGTTGACCATATTAACTACCACTTAAGAATATATATATGTGTGTATATATATATATACATATATATATAATTTCTCCTGTTCCCCCCATTATTATTACAGATTACAATCCATGTTGTAACTATGCCTTCCAGTGTTGATGATAAAATATGCTTAATAATGAAATTCTGGATTTAGCCACCGCTATATTTTCTTGGGTAACAGATAAACCAACAGTGTGCATGTGTGTGTGTTGGGGGGGGGGGACCCATGTGATCTGTGCTCTGAAAGAGAAAAAAAATTCCCCATATGTGACTCAGACCTGCAAGGCGCATACCCAGCGAGGTCTTAATGTTTGTATTTCAAAGAGCTATTTCTAGATGCTGGAAGAATTCTCCCTGCAGGGTGTCAGAGACAGTTTTAGATGGTAGAAGAACTATTCCTCCAAGGGAAAGAGAGATCTGTAGTTGTGCGCTTCTTCAATTGTGCGAAGAGAACCCAGCAGCCTCTCTGGCTATTGTGGCTGGACTGTGCAATCCAGTGGTTTGTTTTCCTCAGGAGGTACTTTAAGAAGCTGGGATAACCCCAGGATTCAGCTTTGAGGTGTTAGATAAAAAACAAAACGAAAACAAAACTGATGTTTGTGCAAACTTCGTAGGCTATGAAGGTCGATGAGATAAATGTGTACCAAGAATATGCAGTTTTTACTGGTCAAGGCTGGGGCCTAGTCGGAAGAAGGTTCAAGGGCCTTGACTAGAGACTGATTAAAAAGAAAAGTCTGTTGCCCGGGTAGAAACCCTGTGTAGATAGAGCCCTAGGTTGGCATCTCTGAGTCAAGGCTATCTAGGATGGCTGTGTCAGAATCTTATTTAGCCTTCTGGTCTGAGGGAGGAGGCCACTCATGACAGATCTGCACTTAGAATATGAAATCCTCCAACACGGTTTAGTATCTCTGGTAGTTAAATGAAAAATGTAGGAAGCAGATACTTTCTCTGTGTTGTATCTTCTACAACCAACAAATGCTGGTTGGCTTTGTGGTTCGTGGCCACCATGACTCACGTTAAAACTTGGTCCCCAATATATTGAGATGTGGGAGACATTTAAGAGGTGTTACCCCCCACCAAAGGAATCCATCGCCTTTGGTGGAGGGAGTTTCATTCACTGGGCTGGATTAACACCAGGGCACGCATAGTTATAATGAGGTTGTGTCTGGTGTGTGGTTTCCACTACACACACTAGCTTGGCCTTCCCCTTCCTGCCACAAATTAAAGCCATGCGAGGCTCCACCAGGAACCTAGCAGATGTGGGTGCCCATTCTCACAGGCTTCCCAGCCTCTAGAAACATGGCCTCAAATAAACCTGAAAGAATTGCCCAGTCAGGTCATCTCATATGGCAACAGAAATGGACTTCTTTGAACCTTGTCTTGATGCTCCGAGGTGTGAAGCCTGGCTCACAATGTTGTGCCCTGGCCGCGACAGAGGAAAGATGTGGGGTATGGAGACACCATGCTAAGGACCAGCATGTCCCTCCTTTGCCCTGGACTTCCCGCCTTCAGCGGTTGTGTCCTGATTCTCATGGCTCTGCTCTGGCTGTGTCCACTTCCTGTTGACCTCTGTAAAGACCATTCACATTCCAGTGCACAGCTGACCCCCTCCCCCATGTGTGAGCTTCTGCAGCTCAGAGGAGCTCACTCTCCTTTCATCCCTGGGGCCCAGATGGGAACCCAAGCAGATAAACGTCACATCTTTGAATTGATGAAGAAGACATCTAGTCCTGATGGATTACAGTTTTCTCATCTGTAGGCGAAGGGTACAGGTGACCTCCAAAGTGCCCTTCAGCTCTTGCATGATAGTACCATGTACTCCATGGTACAAAATATTCATTTTTTTCCCCTCCATGACAAGATTTCTTTGTGTAGCTTTGCAGCCTGTTCTGGAACTCGCTCTGGAGAGCCGACGGGCCTTGAACTCAGAGATCCACCTGCCTCTGCCTCCCGAGTGCTGGGACTAAAGGTGTATACCACCAGCCAGCTCATTTTATTTTTTTAATGATAGGTTACATTGTATGTACGCATATAGCACGATGTTCTGAGAATGCACACATTGTGAAGTGGCTGACATCATAGCATCTCATGTAGGTAAGGATAATGACATCCACTCACTGATCAGTTTGTTTGTTGTTTGCTTTGAGACAGGTTTCTCTGTGTAGCCCTGAATGTCCTGGAATGCTCTGCAGACCAGGCTGGTCTCAAACTCACAGAGATCCGCCTGCCTCAGCCTTCTGAGTGCTGGGATTAAAGGTGTGCGCCACCATGCCATGTCCGGCCACTTATGAGCTTTTAAGAAAGCCTTGTTGTTGACCATATGGTACAATGGATCTTGAATGGCTTTGAACCTCAGTTAGCTCCTTCCACCTCAGCCTCCTGAGGGTTTGGGTTATGGTTTGCACCCCAGGCCCCTTTATGTAACCTTTGACCAACATCTCTCCATGCCCCCTCCCCATGCACACACACTATGGTGCAAAGGATGAAGCAGCCACTGTCTAGTTCTCAGAGCTTCGGTCTTGTCAAACACATGTGAAGATAAGCTGCTATATATAAAAACAAGGACTGAAAATAAGTAAAAAGTGTGATGTTTAGAAGAAATGCCATATTTTTAAAAATTATTTTTCTGACTTGGAATCCAATTTCTTTTTTATTTAATTATTTTTATTTAATGTTCATTAGTGTTTTGCTTTCATGTATGTCTGGGTGAGGGTGTTGGGTCCCCGGGAATTGGAGTTACAGACAGTTGTGAGCCACCATGTTGGTGCTGGAAATTGAACCCAGGTCCTCTGTGCCCATGAATCAGTAAGCTCGCCTGTGAGTTCAGCAAACCTGTGAGAGATTTAAACCTTGGCTTCTGAATAACACATTTGACTTATTCATAAATTGAGTTTGCTACATTCAAACTAATATTTCATACGAGAAAGAAGGTTGAAGGATTTGTAAATCTCTGCTTTCTATTCCCATTGCCCCTGCTCAGGTCCTCTGCTTCATGTTTGGCTCTAGTCTCGAGACTGAAATTGATTTACATGACATTTATATTGCGTAGCAACTAAAATAGATCTTCAACACAGAGTATCACCCCAATGGGCTCATGTAAACCACTGAGATAGAAATGTCACCCGTGCCAACTGGCCAGCCAGGCCATCAGTGCGAAAGTGTTCACACAGAAAGGAGCTAGCTTTCTTCTGAGCAAGGACAGGTCGGACTTGCTAAGTGGAAGAAGCACCCCTTCATAACCAGATGCACCCTCGCTATTTGTCAGGGCGACCCTGAGAACCCTGTTGCCCCCTTGTTCTCATGAATGGTGGCCTTGGGTTCTTCCAGATGCAAGATCTGACTTTTGTACTTCTCTTGCCAGTCCTCCACGATGTACTGGTGGTAGGGGTCCTGGGAATGCTCCCGCCGCTTCGACTTCACCGTGCTTACCAGGATGGCCACCACAATGAAGGAGAACATGCCAATCATCACCATGAGGTACAGGATGACGTAGTAGAAGTTCTCAGCATCGACTCTGGCCTGAAGCGCCTGTTCTTCGGCTGTTGTGTTCTTCCTCCAGTTGTCCATATAAGTAATGAAAACCTTTCTGAAGACATCCTCCAGTGTTTGTGTAAAATTGGCTAATGTGGTCATGTCTCCTTTGCTGTAATTAAATGATAATACAGATTAGTAAGGCTAAGGCCCTACCTTCATTTGGCTGCCTTCAGGGAGGTTGGGAGGTAGATGCAAGTGGAGAGAATGTAATAATTTCATTTCTTTTTCTTTTTCTTTCTCTTCCTTCCTTCCTTTTTTTGAGATCTATTTAATATGTATTCTGCCTGCAATTGCTGGAAATTGAATTCAGGACCTCTGGAAGAGCAGCCAGTGCTCTTAACCTCTGAGTCATCTCTCCAGTCCTGAGAAGGCAATTTCTTAACCTGTCTAGTGATGGATTAAATTCAAAATTGGATGGTCTTTAAACACACCCATTTTTATTCATTGTTTGACTGTACTATTACAATAAAATGTAATGGAAGACATAAAGCTGTATAAAGACATTTATGCATAATTATATATGCACACATTAAAAAGGGGGAAAGACTAAAAGGAAGTAGATCAAAATGTATACATTTTATCTACTTATATATATTACATATACATATGTGTAGCCATATATTTTTGTGCTTTTTTGGTGTTTTTCTTGAATGTTGAATTCTCATCAATCATCTTGCATTTCTTTTTGCTAAAAAAATAAACCAGTGACCTCTCAGCCACTAACAGAATGTATCTGTGTGTGTGTGTGTGTGTGTGTGCGTGTGTGCGTGTGTGTGACATGCATCCAGCATGTTTGCTGTTGAACTTGAACGAAGCAGTGGGCACTCTGCTTTTACAAATTGTGGGGATTTAGACATAGCATTGAGGCAAAAGTTTGCAAAGATAGATTTTTTAAAAATATATCCTATGTCCTAGGTTTATCAGGCATGTCTATCCTGCGGCTCATTGGCTGCAAGCAACACAGACAGCTGTACATGCAGCCTCAAAGCATAAAGCTACTTAAAACATTATGACATTATTAAGTGTGTGTGTGTGTTGCAATTTATGGGATTTTTTCTTTGTAACTACTTGATTTCATAGTTCTGGTGTGGACTTATTTGGTGACATTTGTCACAGTGTCAAAAGGTTGTTTGTGACTACTAGACAGATTTTACACAGACACACACACTCACACACACTCACACACACACTCACACACACACACTCACACACACACTCACACACACACACTCACACACACATTCACACACACACACACTCACACACACACACTCACACACATACACACTCACACACATACACACTCACAGACACACACACTCACACACACTCACACACACACTCACACACAGTGGAAAAGAGTGTTTTAGATGCTGATGCCAGAACATAAACTGAACATTCCTAAGTCCTCAGATCCGTCTTTCCTCTTCATCCCCACTGCCTCTGCCCAGCCACCACCATCTCTCTAAACACCGCGTGCTCCTCTACGAAGCATCTCTTCAGGCTGTATCTGTCCTTCTCTCTGCACAAGGATGCTCTCTTTACCAGAAGGGAAGTAGGGCGATGCCATCACCTTACATCACAGGATGTGGACCTTCCTGATGGCCTAAAAATAACTTCCTAATTCCTTAACAAGATTACCTGGCCTGGCCTGAGTTCCCGCCTGACCCAACTCTGCACTTAATCCCTTACAACAGAAGACTCCCTGCAGCCAGCAATGGCGCTTGCTTTCTTTCTTCCGAGCCAGTTCTTGCCTGAGGACATTTCAGTCCAGCCTCACTACCTAGGATTTTATGCCTGCTCCCTTGCCTGCACTCTCTCTGTTCTTTAAGCCCCAGTGTGAGCTGCCTTGGCCATGTGTCTGTACTCTCCATCACGAGCAGGCAATGCCAGGCACCCTTGTCTGGAGACGACTGCCCGCGGACTTCCAGGAATTCTCCCATGCAACTCCTTCTCCCAAATTGCCCTAGCTGAGAATCTTGTTCCCAATACTCGTTTTTCATCTGACTTAAAAAAAAAAAAAGAGGATATATTTATTTTATGTGTGTGGGTGTTTTGCCTACATGTATGAATATGCACCAAGTTCATGCTTGGTGCCTGAGAAGGCCAGAAGAAGGTGCTGGGTTCCTTGGAACTAGAGTTGCAGACACTTGTGAGCCACCACGTGTGTGCTGGGAACTGAATTCCAGTTTTCTCCAAGAGCAAGTCCTCCTAACTGCTAAGCCTTATCTCTGGTCCCTCACTTGACGTTTTAACTTCTGTTCTTCAAAGGTCTTTAAGATCTCTCTCTCCTTCTCCCCAGCACTCAAAGCCTAGTGGGCTGAAAAAAGAAAGTTAGCAAACAGATGGGATTGCTCCCAGGTGTACTGGAAACTGCAGAGATGAGCTGCTACCGCCTTAAACGGTGTTTGCTGCGGCCGAGCAGAGCCAGACTCATTTTTCTCCATAGCATTTATGTCTGCACATAGGGAGAGCTGAGTTCAGTTTCAGGGGACTCCTAGGCTCCCCACGGTCTAACAATCTCTTCCGCAGGTATCCTGAGGTGAGAGATTTTAGTAGGGCATTCCACTGGCGCCACTCAGGCCTGCTTCCTGGTGTGGGCACAGTTGCCAGCCCTTGAGAGCTGAGGGGGGCCTGCACCACCTACTATTGGCTCGGCTCTTTGCTCTAAGCAGGTCACGGGTGCTTTTTGTTCAGGCTTAATCACAGGCTTGAAAGGGCCTATGAGGATTAAATAAATGCCTGGGTGCTGACCTCTGTCCAGGCAGAGCAGACTCTGGGAGAGGGTTCACGTTTTCAATACCGAGGCATGAGATGAGGCTGGGCCGGAAAGTCTGGTGTTTCCCGACCATGGAAAGATTCAAAGCATGGTGCGAAAGCAATCTCACTGATAGGGGTTTGTTAAAACATATTCAAAGGCTAAGCAGAATGCACTATGGACGTGGAAAAGGGAACATTGGGGGGAGAAGGGCACAGCACAAGAGGGGTCAGCGAGATGGGGAGAGGAGCTGTATGAGAGAAGGAACCAAAGCTAAGTATGGCGCATCACTCTCCGTACACGGATATTCAATAGGAAAGCAGGAGCTGGGAGAGGCTCAGCGGGTAAAGTGCTGACTGGCGAGCCTGAGGACCGGCCTCTGGATCCCCGAGTTCATGTAAAGCTGAACACAGTAGTGCTTGATTGCATATGTAGAATTAATGTAAAGCTGCACACAGTAGCGCTTGCGTGCGTATGTAGTCCCTGCACTCCTGGGGTAAGATGGGAGGGGGATACCAGAGGATCCTGGGAAGCTAACAGGCCGCTTTGCCTGGAGAACACAGCAGCAAACAGGAGACTGTGTTCCAAATGAAGTAGGTGAGGACGAACTGTACACTGAGGCTGTCCTCCGATTGCACCTGTGCTCTGTGGTAAGTCTGGTCTGCAATCACATGCACACATGCACACACGTACACGTGTGCACACACAAACTCACATACAAATTACAAACAAACAACTAAAAAAATCTGCAGATTATAAAGGATAATAGCAAGCTAACATTAAAAATGATAAAGGAGTTAATTTAAATTTTGATTCCTAGAATAACCACTGACTTGATAGACAGCCACCATATTTGGCACACATACGTGCCCTTTATAAGTCCCAAGGGAGGCATTTTACTTTAGTAATACCCAGAGAACAGTTGTGTGCAGTCATTTGAACTGTATGAGATTGCCTTAGGTCTATGCAGGTCTAACTGGTCAGCATCACGTGGTTCCACCTAGTGGGAAGTGTATCCCCACTAAACGGGTTTTACTGAACAGGCTGGGTGCCCAGAGAACAGAGACCCGCTTGCTCTTTGGCGGGGTTACGACCACAGCCTAGCACTTAGGTCTGTCTAAGATCAGGGCTCTCAAAGGCTGTTGTGCCTGGGCTAGAACTGACCGAGACCAGTGTCCAGTACTCAGCCTGTCCTAGTGGAGGCCACACAATGTGGTAACCATGTTTTCGCCTCCTGTGGCTGGCTCAGCTGCATAAAGGACAAAGATGGAGAGCAGGGCCTGAGCTTGCATGCTTCCTTTGGCTGTACCCCGTCTCTAGATCACTGAAGGATCCCCTAGTCCCAGGTCCTCCTACCACAGCTCTATGAGGTGACTGCCAAGGACAATCTAGACGTGACAAGGAAGTTACACGTTTGACCCTAATGACCAAAGCTTTCTTTGCTTGAAATATGGTGATGACTAACCTTATACGTGCCAACAACAGACAGCCAAGTCATGAGTTTTTATGGAAAAAGATAGAGTTACCTACATTTGTCATGAATCCTTCATTTAAAAAAGCACCTTCAACATTTTCATCTGAAGGCAATTCTGAAGAGATGAACAAGGAAAGGTTTGGAAGGGAGGGAGGCGCGCTAGAGGAAAGAAAGGCAAACATGCCCAGAATATGTGTGTGTGTGCACCCCCGTGTGTGTGTGCATGTGTGTATGCATGTGCGTGTGTGTGTGTGTGTGTGTGTGTGTGTATGCATTCAGTTTTCTGAAATAAGGAAAAGGAAAAAAGTTACATAACTCTCTTTTTAAAAGCTGTATAATGAAACTTACCTACACGTGCGTGAGCAATGCAGGAGGCCTTCTGAAAACCAGGCTCTACCCGTCTGGCTGGTGTGAGCTCTTAGGACTACACAAATCTCAGCAGGCTGCGCACTTTCAGCTTGAGACCCAGTAAACCCTCACTGACTGGAGTCTGCAGCCCTGGGCTTTTACAAATCCAATGTTTAATCTTAAGTGGAAAGTTAAATACTGGCTGGCAGTTGGGAATTAACCTTGATGCCTTGCTAGGGGTGGGGCATGGAGTTGCGGGTATGGAGCCTGGCTGCGGGTGAAATAGCTCAAGTTCCCTCTTTGCGATGGCTGTGTGAGCTTCTTCTGGGGAGATGTGGGCACCTGCTCACCCCAGAGAAGGCAACAATGACAGACAAGAGTTACAATTCCCTCCAAATCCATCCTGCTGAACTAATGAGTTTACAGAGTTACTTACAGGACCATGGACGAGAGGGTGCTTACAGGAGGGTTGGTACCACCCCGCTGCCCCTGGATGCTGCACACTCTATACACATAGTACTTCCTGAGATCTGAGTTGCACAGGACAGAGTGCAGGGACTAGAATCCCAGGTGAGGTCTAGTGACCTCCCCGCAATTCCTAGAAGGGAAAGTCTGTGGGTGACGACGGCTCTTGTTGAGGGTCTCTCAGAGGTAATCACATATATCCTGAGTAAGATGGCAGTAACTGTTGTGCTTGGAGAATTCCACAGCAGGGACCCGTGATGTTCTTCTGCATCAGTGAACACTGAAGACCGTCCCTCACAGACATACTCACAGGCCAACTAGGTCTAGGTAATTCCTTAAGTGAGACTCTTTTCCCAGATAATTCTAGGTTGTGCCAAGTTGACAATCCAAGTGGACCAGGGCAGAGGAGGGTGGTAGTGATCCCCAAGCCGGAGAACTAGCATATGTGAGTGTCACCACGTGCCAGGGGCTTCTCCAAGGGTTTATTATAGTGACTTCATATCATCATGGTCACAACACAGTACCCAATCTTCTGTGAGTGACAGCTCAGAAATCCAGGACCAGAGAGATGGAGAGAGCTAGATAGGTCAAATGTGTGCCCAGATTTGAATCTAATTTGAAAAGGTCAACCAGCATCACTTATGGGCTATATGGCCATTTGTGATCATGTGACACAAGCCGTGTGTGACCGTGTGACACAAGAGTGGCTGGGTAAAATTAAAATAAAATAAAATTAAGGCTAACTTTGCTTTCCAGATGGGTTTCCAACTAGATGGTTCTCCAAAGGACACGGTTTGAAGCCTACTGAGTGTTAGAGGGTGGTAATGTTCCGTGTGTACTAGGTGTAAGGTGTATCTGTAATTCTGCACCTCATTCCCAGGATAGCCCTAATTCCCTTTACTACAAAGACAAGGCAAACCCAACCGATAACGAGTCTGGTGGTAGACCAGTTGACTTATGGGCACCTCCACAGTAATGGAATTTGGATGTTCCAATGAAGGGTCACTGGGTGGTTGTGCCTCCTGTTGGTGGAACGAGTAACAGGCATTGAAATTCCTCCTAACTCAACCTCAAAGGTCTAAGTTCTATTGCTACCGCAAGAGGACCCAGAACGGTACACGTATGGTAATCACAGTCAGTTCTGGAAAGAGGTCTGTCATGGAGGCTGACAAACTCAGGTGAGTAAATTACCCTGGACCTCGACATTTGTCTTCCTCGGCTGTGAGATGGGGATGGGAAGGGTCCCTAGTTGGGCTGTCATTATATGAGACACTGGAGATACTGCGCCAACCACACAGCTTGGCGCATAGTAAGACAGCAAGTTCTGTAGAAACATTAACTTTATCATTATGAGAAGGAAACAAGAGGTGTGCCAGTGCAAACTCACCATCCTGAAAAGAATGGTCCAGAACCAGGTCTCCTCAGTAGTTTATCTTAGGATCCCCCTTACCCACACCCCACTACACAATTTATAAAACAGATTTAGACCATGGCATGGCCTGAGGTACTAAGGAGTGGACACAGAAGTGGAGTGTAGACATGGACCTGGTATCAGAAGCCGGAGAAAAGGGAGAGACAAGAATTATGTGACGTATCCAGGCAGGCCGCGGCCTTCATCACTGCAACAGGCCCTCCACAGACTCACTCACCAGCCAGACGCAGGACACACGAACACAGCATTCTCTTCCAAGCCAAACCTGCTACGGATTCCCAGCCTCTCCCTATGTGTGGTGCATGTTCTTGAAACCCAGTCCATTGTCCATTGCATTTGGATTTAAAACAAAACTTTTTCAACAGAGACCCATGGAGGGGCCTTAATTCTAACCAAGTCTGGCTGTTGTGTTACCAGGGGTGTTCTCAGGCCTTCTCCATGTATACCAAAGAACAAACAAGTCGCTCTCACTGGATATCATGGCCAAAGTCAGGCAACAGGGGATACAGAAAGGCACAGAGGGGACACCTCAAATCAGCCAGTGTCTCTTTAATTCATTCCAACCCTGGTAAGGGATGTCCTACATTGGTCCTATCTTTAAAAATTATATATTGATATATTGTTGTGTAGATTTATGCAGTATCAAATAGAATTATGATTTTCATATAGCATGAAACTTTTAATCAGGCAAATTAGCCTGTCCTCTAATACTTGACATGTTTTGGGATGAGAATGCTTAAAGTTTACCCTCTTAGCAAAATCAAAATACACAGTACCCAACTGTTATCTATATTCATCATACTGTTCCACAGATCCCAAAGACATATTCAAAATATTTGATTCTGGAACAAACATTACTTTTGTTATTATTTGCACCCCCACTTTAAAGGGATAGTTTACTCACACAAAAACAGTGACAACGTTTTAAAAACTGTTGTTTATTTTTTTTTTTAAAGACAGGGTCTCAGATCGACCTGGAACTCAAAAACAGACACTTACATGCACACACACAGACGTGGACACATGCACACACATGTACACACACAGCACACACAGTGCATGCACACATACACACCTTTGTTCCTTCTGACTGCTCTGAAGTCTTTCTCCTTGTCATTCATTTTCAGCTTGTTACTATTTTATACTGAAATGGACATATTTTACAATAATTCTACCTGAAGTTTAAAAATATCTCTTTAAAGTAATTCTGGAAACCTCTTAATCGCATTCTTCCAACATTGGTTATGCTCTGACTAGTACTTTCCCTACCCCTCACAAGCCTTTTAATTCCTCTCACAAATACCGCTGACCATGCCTCCCATCATGGAAGCTTGTGTGTACTGAGCCCAGAGTGTAAACATGCCCTTTGGGCGACACTGAACACAGCAGGACCTCAGAAGGACCTTGGTGATGCAGGCCAGCACGTCTGAAGACTGTCTGGGTTTTGGTGCCATGAACCAGTCTGATAGCCAGTTATAAAAAACAGCTGTCAGCAGAGAAGGCGCCTTCCCTCAGGTGCGGCTGTTCTGCTATACTTTCTCCTTTTGGCCCTAAATCTCCTTCCATTCAGGAACCCCCTTGGGCTTGCCTTCCTTTTTGATCAACCACGAGTTTGCTCCTGGATACCTGTGACGGTTTTCTCTGTGTTTGCCCTTGCTTCTGTGTTTCTCAGAGGAACCAGCTTGATCTTCTAGAACATGCTATTCTCTGTCTTAAAACCCACGATCAGTTTCTATCAGTTCAGAATCAAATATAAGTCCTTCATGCATCCTGCCAAGCCACAAAGTAATCCTGCTTCTTGAACCTCTTTCTGCTATAGTGTCTGTACTTGTTTCTCATTGCTATGCCAGCAAATTATCATAAAATCACATACTTACACAAACTTCTTATCCTAATGCTCTGAGGGTCAAAAATCCATGGAGTCTCAATGGAGTAAAACCAAAATGTCACCAAGGCTTCCACAATCTGTTTCCTTATCTTTTCCAGCTTCTGGGGTCACCGACATTTATTGGTTTATGGTCTCTTTCTGGCATTGATTCACCCTCTCTCCAGCTTGTATTCACGTCTTCCCTCGACTCTGATCCTCCTCTCTCACTCATATCTGAGGTGGGATTCCCCTCTGTACGCTATGAATATGTTTTATTACCATTGGTTAACAAAGAAATTGCTTTGGCCTATAGCAGGGCAGAATATAGCCAGAGAGAGAGAGAGAGAGAGAGAGAGAGAGAGAGAGAGAGAGCAGAGTTAGAGAGATGCCATGTAACTGCCAAAGGAAAAAAACCACCAGAACAGAACCTTACCCAGTAAGCCACAGCCTCATGGCAATACACAGAAATGGGTTAAGATGTAAGAGTTACTTAATAAAAAATCTGAGCTAATTGGCCAAATAGTGTTGTAATTAATACAGTTTCTGTGTGATTTTTAGGTCTGAGTGGCTGGAAAACAAAATGTAGCCTCTGCCTACACATATAAAGTCCTTAAGGATATATTCAGCTCACCTGAATAATGCAGAACAATCATCCTGTCTCAAGATTCCCAGCTGTCACACCTATAAGGTCAATTTCCCATGTAAGCCATCATGGTCACAGGTTTGGGGTTAGGGTGCAGGTCCTTTGAGGGGCTTCTACGCAGTGTAAGTCAGCATCTTTGCAACGACTGCTACTTCACTGCTGTCCTTCAGGCCTTTGCTTGTCCACCCATTTGTATTGTTGACTCCCACTCGGTCACTGGACGTATTTCCCTGACGGTACTATTTGTATTATTTATTTATCTATTTATTTGTGCGTGATGTGTGCATTAATGTGTGTGTGAGTAAAGAAGGGGACCACTTTAGGGAGAGGAAACTGATTGTTAGAAGAAGGAAGAGTGATTGGGGTAGCAAGACTGTGACAATTAACACAATTCAATATGATATATGTTGTGGAATATTAGTTTAAGATGTGTTACATTCATTTACGCTGTGGAATATTTGTTTAATGATGCAAAAATATGCTGCATTCTTTTATGCTGCATTTGTTTAATTCTATAAAGCTGTGTTACTTTGCCTGCCTAAAACACCTGATTGGTTTAATAAAGAACTGGACAGCCAATAATTAAGCAGGAGAGAGAAATAGGCGAGGCTGGCATGCAGAGAGAATAAATAGGAGGAGAAATCCAGGCTAGAGAGGAAGAATGGGAGAAGTGAGGAAAAGAGGAGAGGAAGACACACAGTAGTCAGCCACCCAG